TAGCCAGCCATGCAAACAATACCCATTGGATTTATTTTTATGTCAACAATGAAGAAATCCCATGGAGACAGAGCTAGAGAAAAGAAATGACAGCATGGAGTTTGGCCATAATTCTGCTTAATTGTTAATTCAATTCAACTCAATTCATCAATAGCTAAAGATCTTTTCTTCAAAGCTGTGATTTGGACACTAGGGGAGCTAGAGAGTTGAGATAATAGAGCAGAAAGGGAATAGATTCAGAGCTGGAAGGAATGGTTGGGCCATCCAGCCCAATCCCTCGATTTTACTTACGAGAAAACAGATCCAGAGACAGGAAGTGACTTGTCTAAGATGACACAGGCAGTAAGGGGGTCAGAGGTGTGATTTGTACCCAATTCCTTTGACTCAGAAGCCATTGGTGTTTCTCTTGGTAATTGCTGGCAGGGGCATGTATGTTTTTAAAGAGTGCAGAAGAAAGGAGCTTTGAGAGTGCGTGGAGACGAGTTGCTATTTCCCCCCTGAGAAAGAAAGAAAGGTGTTTTTGACATCCCACAGAATCTCAGGTATGGAAGTAGCCTCAAGGGCACCCAGCCCAACCCACACCTGAGAAGAGATTCCCTTGAAAGGGGGCTTTTGAATATTTTTAGTGTGTCATGGACCCTTATGGCAGTCTGGTGAAGCCTGTGGACCCCTTCTCAGATGAATGTTTTTAAATGCATAACATAAAACACGTAGGAGTACAAAGGAAACCAATTCTATTGAAATACAATTATCCAAATACTTGAGAGAACAGATGTGTTGTAGAGGTCTGAGACTACCTAGCTCACGTCGTACCTTGGTACGTGGTACGTGTGCATGTGTGTGAGTGGAGAGGAGGGTGCTTTTTAATGGGGGTGATGAACTTTCCACCCAACCCCACGGGGACTGCCTTCCTGCCCGGTCTCTTCCCCACCCCCTCTCTTCTCCCCCCCTCCCCCCTTCCTTCCCTCCCCTCCCCCAGCTTGGCAGCCAGAGCATGACAGAAGCCGTGCCAGCTTAGGGCCTTAGAAGCAGAGTTTCATGTGCTGGGCGGCTCTGGGCTCCCAGAGGTGTGCTAATCCCTTAAGAGGTGTGTGGCAGGAGATGAGAGACGGGAAGAGGCTGGGAGGAAATCCCCATGGGGGCGCGGGCCTGGCCCTGGGCTCTAATCCCCCCCAAAGATCAGGCTCGGGTCCTTCAGGAAATTCATGGGCTCGGGAGCTTCAGAAGCAGGGAAGTGGTAATTAGAGAAGAAGGCTGCTTTCAACAGAGGCAGTTCTGAGATCGAAGGGGAAGAGGGGGTGGGAGTGGGGGGAGAGTTGGGGGAGACAGGAGGGCTGGGAATGAACTTCAAGAAAGGTCAGGAATAAAAAGGGAGGTGCAATGGTCGTCCCCAGAGCAGGGACGCTAGCACTGCAGGTTCTTATCTGAGCTCAGATTGCCCAGGATAGTGTATTCCATCACTTCTTTCTGGAGGAAGAGAAAGGGTGAGCTGTGGCCAGGGACCTGGGGTGCTTCACCATGTGTTCTTCTTACTCCTGAAATCAGAATCCCACAGCCTCAGAATTGGAGGGAGCTTCAGAAGCCACCCATTCGAACCTAGACCTGGCCAAGGACCCCCTCTTAAATTAACAAGTGATCCAGCCTTTGCTTGGAGATTTCTATTAAGGGGAACCCCACTTTGGGGAGCAGTTGTAATTGTCAGTAAACTTTGCCTCCCTACAGCTGCCACCCATCGCTCCAATCTCAGCCATTTGGAGGCAAGCAGGAAAGTCTATTCTCTCTTCCACAGGTCAACCACCCTTCAGATATTTGAATACTTATCTTGCCCCACTCCACCCCCCCAAGCCTGCTCTTCCCTGGGCTAAACATCCCCAGACCCTTCAGCTGATCCTCAGGTAATGTGATTTGGAGGCTTTTCCCCATCCTGACTGCCCTGACTTGGACCTATACCCTACCCCATGCAGATTCAGCAGAAAGCCCCCCTCCTGTCTGGGACAGGCTCTATAACTGTCTTAGAGTAGCCAGGTCTGGTGGTAATGGAAACATGCATTTACACAGCCCTTGAAGGTGTGAAAAGTGATTTCCTCATAACGATCCTAGGAGGCAGGTAGTATTATCATTCCCGTTTTTGGTATGGGTGAAGAAATTTAGCTCTGAGAGATTGTGATGTGCCCAGGACCACCCTGCTAGTGTCTGAGGCAAGGTCTGCACTCTGGTGTCCTGACTCCAAGTCCCAGGCTCTGATAGGCCATGCTGCCTTACACATCTTGTTTTGTTTTGTTTTGTTTTGTTTTGTGGAGTCCTCTGAGGTTTATCCAAAGCAAAGTTTTAGAAGTGTCAAGAATAAAAGAAAAAGTAATGGGTTTATTGCTAGTCCCTACTTATGCTGGGTCTGAGATAGGGCCTATTTCCCCCCTCCCCCCCCCCGGTTAAATAAGATCACAGATTTAGAACTGGAAGAACACAGAAACCATCTAGGCCAATTTCCTCCTTCTACAAGTGAGGAAAATGAAACCTAGAGAAGAAAAAGTGACCTGTCCAAGGTTAATTAAGTAATAAGGAACAAAGCCAGGATTTGAATTCAGGTCTGTTCTCCAAGAACCCTCGGGGGTGATTTTTTCCTCCCCTAACTGGGGAGGACTATCCAGGATCCTAGGATCACTCCTTAGGGAATTACTCAATAGCGCCATCCAGAAGTCACCCACCATCCCACCCTCTGAACCAGGAAATGCTCTGATGTCTTGCTTCCTATGCATAGACATCTGTCTTTACAGGCAACGGTGAGATGGATAGACAAAGGATGCCAGCTAGATGGACAAAGGCTGAAAGGGCAGCATCAAAACTGCTCATCCGCTGCCTGGATTCCAAGAGAAGTGTGGTCCTGTAACTACACACTCCCAAGGCCAATCATCATCTGGGGAAACAGAGACACGGAGCCTAGAAACATAGCCAGCCGGTGGCCAATAAGGAAAGGGGCAAACCTGGGAGTCTAGGCTTTCAGCACCTTTGAAATTGACTGTGTTCTTCCCATTGTAAATGGAATTCTCTGCTTTCACAGCAGTATGTTCCCAAGACAATAGTGTAGTCCCAGTATTGGGAAGTAATGGTGTCAAACCCAAATAAAAACAAAGGGCAGGGCACTAAATAGTACACGAGGGTCCCTGCGGGCCACATATTGACTTAGAAAACCTTCTATTGTACTTTTATTTATTTTGTTAAATAGTTCCCAATTACATTGTCATCTGATGCTAGCCCCTGGAAGCCCATGTTTGACACCTATGTTGTAAGGGACCCCATGGAAGATGTTTATTGTGCCAATGGTAGGGTGCTGGGATTCCATTGATAGAACTCCCATGGAGGAAACTCCTCCTACCAAAAAAAAAAAATTGGCACTTTCTCTGTGATTTAGAATTTTAGATAGTCTGGGCACTGAGTGCCCAGAGCACTGAGGGGCTAAGAGGTAAGCCCAGGGTCCCACCACCAGTGTGTACCAGAATGGGGACCTAAACCCAAGATCTTCTTGGTTTGAGGCCAGCTCTCTCTAATCACTATATCATGTTGCCGCTTGCTGGTAATAATAGCTCACATTTTAATATTGCTTTAAGAGTTAGTAAAATGCTTTCCTAACAACAACTCCCTAAGGTAGGTAGTACAAGTATTTTGTTCCTTATCCCCATTTTACAGATGAGGAAATTGAGGCCTATTGATGTTAAGCAATTTGCCCAGTTGGTGAGTGACAGCTGAGATTTGGACTCATGTTATTTGTGGTACACCATGGTGTACCACAAATAACATGAGTCCTGTCCAAAAGACAGAGGCAGACAGGAGGAATGCTGTTGGGTTATTTCTGAAAAGGGAAAGAGATACAGATTTTCCCGGTGTCCAAGTTCAAACAGTCTGATTTTTGATTCCTAGAAGATCTGGATTGTGATTCACATTAGTCAGTTTTACTGTCCCCCCACTCCTCACTCATGCTCCCTGTCTTAAGTACCTTCAAGACCCCTAAAGGTAGCTACTGGAGAAAAGAAAGCACAGAGGCATTAAATGGGAGAGTTAGGATTTGAATGCACAACTCCCAACTCCCCAGTTTGTGTTTTGCCCCTCTAGAGGTGGCTTTTCTGGGCCTGAGTTACCCCTCTAGGGATGCCATTCTGGCCCAGCCCAGAACTATCTGCACTTCTCCCTTCTGTGTGAGTCTGAGCTCCAGCTCAGGAAGAATGAGACCAGAAGAGCAGATTGTCCACATCTTTCTGGCCTCCTGAGCTCATCCTGAGCTAGAGACCCTAGATAAATAAATAAAGTGCTCTTGAGGGCCCTGTAGACTACGATGAGATTGCATCCCACCCCCTTCTGTTCCCTCTGCCCAAACTGAGGAGGGAAGAGTCTACCAATGAGGATCAGTGCTCTCTCCCTCAACTTTGCACAAATCACACGCCATTTAACTCAGGCTTCAGCCATCCCCCATAGATGGAGTTGGACAACTTCCTCTGAGCACAGGATTTGACGTCCTCTAACAGAGTCTGGCCCTCCCCACCTCTGTGGCTTCTCTTGCCCCCTCCTCTAATCTTGAGAGTTTCCAGCCCTCTAGGTAACCCCTTTGGAAGCCCAGCCCCTTTCCGCCGCAGCCACCCCACTAACCACGGCCACTTATTCAGTCAGATGTCTCAGCTGTTTTGTGATTCTCTTCCTCCTGAATGACAGGCAGTGGCCTTACTTTGTCTCAGAGCACAGAAATAGATAAATTCCCAAGGAATTCCCTTAATGTATAGGAAAATAAATCTAGGGAAAATATACAAAGCCAGGGACTGTTTTAATGGGATGATATTGCATGTAGGCACCTGCACTCCGAAGCGGGAGCTGAGAGGCTCCAGGAGATCACCTCCAGAAAGTGCTGGAGAAACACTGAGATACAGCCGATAAGGGGAAAGGAGGAGAAGTTTCCTTGGAATGATTCATAAACAGTCGTGCCCTTCCCACTCTCCTGGTTTTTTTCCTTGCAGGACGCCCGTTCGCTGGCCGCAGCCGCTGCCCCCCTGACAGGACCCCGAGCTAACACAGTGCTGGAACGGGTAGAGGGTGCCCAGCAGCGATGGAAGCTGCAGGTGCAAGAACAGAGGAAGACGGTGTTTGATCGCCACAAGATGCTCAGCTAGATGGGCCGGGTCAGTCAGGCCGAGGAGAAGAGGAGGCAATGGGGGCTGGGGTTGGGGGGCCTGTTTTTCCCCCCTCTCTCCATCTC